CAAATGATGAGGAAGAAGAGATGAAACGTGAGGATGAAGTATTGAGGAGCCCTGTTCAGAGTGGAGATGACGATGATGAAAGTGGACAGGAGGAAGCAAAGAAGAAATGTGACGATGATGAGGAAGAAGAACAGAAATGTGAGGATGAAGAAATTAGTAGTCCTGTTCAGAGCGGAGATGACGAGGACGCAATGAATAAGAGTGAAGATGAGGAGGCGGAAAAACAGGAATTCACAAAAGATGAGGAAATGCGCGAAGATGATGGAAAGGAGCAAGCAAAGAAAAGTGAACATGATCTTTGGGGGCCTCACTGGACTGATGAGGAGAGGTCCATTTGGGACATTGCACTACAAGACAAGCAAAACGAAGAAGACATACAGCGATTGCAGCGTGAGAACGCCAACCTCCCAAGTGCAGCTGCCTTGGGTTTTTTCAACAACTGGCATGACCTTGGATGAGATCGAAGCAAAAACCCAGGTGCGTGCAGCTGCAACGCCCCAAAGAAAATCTTCTGAAAAGAAGAATCCGAAAACAGTGACTGAAGAAGCCACTGCACAAAAGTGTGACGATGAGGTAGAAGAATCAACCAGCAGCGGTGAGGCTTCAGAGGATGAGAAAAAGGTCCCATCGGTGCCACCCAGCCCCAGCCCAAGAAGCAATAGCAGCACCAGCACAAGCAGCAGCACCAGCAGCTCGTCAAGCAGCAGCACCAACGATAGTGCGATGAAAGGAGAGAAGCTGAAGAAGGATGCAACTGACAATGAGAATGAGGCTCACTTTTTCATCCGGCCTGAATTTCCACGGAGCAACATTCGACGTTGGATGACTCCTGGGGCAAGATTTCCCACACCAAGCATGGAGAATATGTCACCTTCGATTCCAACAAAACAAACAAATTTGGATGCATGGTTTGTGTGTGATGACGTGGATGCGAAGGTGAAAGGTAAAGGAAAGCTTCCCATTCCAAAGCACCGACGGCGAACAAAAAGCTTCCGTAACTTTGCTGCAATGAGACTCATGGAAAATTTCCACGCATGGCTTGGCCTGCCAATTTTTCACTCTGCTTGGCCAAAGCCTGTCCCTATATTGCCAAAACAGAGGGGGGCCTAAAAATAGAACCTTGTCGACCAGTGGCAGTTGACCTGTGGTAAATTCAGTGGAGGTTTGAAGGGACTTGTGGGGGGCCAATCTTCACACCCAAAGCACCAGCCAGGTCGATCTATGATGGCCTTGTGTTCCCACGCATGGGCTTATCTAGAATCCTTCCCCTCCAAATTTGCCCAGGCAGCCCTGTGCAAAAGCCGCCAAAAGCCCCACCGCAACCAACGGAGAAGGCGCCTGCAGTGCCTTGTGCGTTTATCAAGTTGATGATGTCCTGCACGAACAATTGTTGGGATGGTATTTGTTTGGACTGACCTACCACCTGGCCCACAGGCAGAGGGAACGTTGGTTGGTGTTGTCAAGGCGAAGGACTTTTCTCTTGCATCTTTCAATGTGGCAATAAGTAGAATTCAACAGGCTGCTTTGGATCAAGCGTCGGCTAAAGTACCATGTCCTGAAGACCAGCTAGCCCTCTTACGTGCAAAGAGAGCAGCAAAGGTTAAGGAAACGAATCTCAGCTCTGATTGCTAGCATTTGTTGAAAAGGTTCTGGACAATTATGGAAAATGTCTTAAGATCGAACACCTTGCCTACTGGTATAGCTAAGGAAATTTGAACTTGTGGAGAGGGTAACTACTCCGCAGGACTGGACCATCGAGACCAGGCGCAGGTTGACTGGGAAGCTGAAGGGCCATACCTACAAGGTCTACATTGATTCTGAAGGTAGAAAGGAGTACTCGCTTCCGAAAGCCAAAGCTAAAGGCTTTGATGGATCTGATGAGGTCCCGGATGGAAGAACCAAAAGGGGCAAAGCAGCTAAGGCCAAGGCCAAACAGAAAAAGTAGATCGTAGGTCTGGTAGGCAGGGCTTGGAATGGAGATATCTGTCCACCGCAATTATCTTGTTTTCAAACATAGCGCGCATATTGGTTGAAGAGCTCTGCAACATTTTGGGGGTCTTCCTTGGGGTATTTAACCCAAGCTGAAGCTGGTGTTTGTAGCCCAAACCTTCTACTACTTCCAAAGAGCATGTTTCATTGTTGATGGTTGGGCTACCTTTCGATCTGGTATTGCAAACGCCAATACACTATGTGAGTGGCTAGCAGCTGGGGTGAAAAAACGACCGGGACTAGGATATATGCATGCATGTGCTTGGCTTCCTGTCACAAACATGGATGTGGCAAACCAAACCCATACGCCTTCGAGATACTTTCAAACTGAGCATGCTCAATCCCTGCTTGTGCCTGCCAGCTGTACATTAGCTCAACAAGGCGGGAGCTGGGCCTTCACAAAACAATGAAGGCTAGAAACCTGCTTGTGGTTTTGGCCTTCTTGTCCCAGTTTGAGCTGCCTTCACGGAACAATGATTTTGTTTCCTGGCTGTTTAAACCATTCGTTTGTTCACACTTCGAGGGGTTAAGGTGGCTGTTCGGTGGCTGGCCACTGGTCCCAAGGTTGAAGTGTGCGCTGGCTCTGCCAATTTGAGCAGGGCAATGAGGATGAGTGGATACAACGGTAAAGAGTTCGACGCAGTGGCCTCAAGACCCACTGAGCACCCTGCTAGCAACCAGTGTGGGTAGCCAAGCTAAGATCCTCTACTCGAACAATCACAACTTGATGCGGACCATTGGGTTTGTCACGATATTGATGGCAGCCCCTATTCTGCATACAGACCAAAAGTATCGTATGTTCCATCATTCCCTGTCTTTTATATATACCGATTGTTTTCCATTGCCCCCTGAGGTGTGGAACACCAAGCCAGGCGGAATCCTA